TAAACCGGAAGTTCAATACGATACTTTTTGTCGGTTGTTGGATAATTCCAGCTATTTTGTATTTTTGTTTTATTCTTCCGAAAATTCATATTAAAGGGATTGAACAACACATGGAATGTTTATTTCAACGAACAAAGATGTGCCAATTTATTTCAAATAAGCCATACGCCTTTGCAACTACAGGTATATGTTATATTGTGCCGACAACGTTCATTTTGATTTGCAATGCATGTACAAAGTCATCTGTTAAAAAACGGGAACAAATGTTTTACAAACTTGTTCAAATCAACACGAAAAAACGCAGTTTTAACAGGAGACATTTTGGGACAAAATTGGCGCGCATCGTTATTTTATTATCATATTCATGCATTTTATGCTGGTTCCCTTTCTACTTGATTACTTTTATAGATCCTCTTACCTCTTACAGGGTACCAACCTACATGTGGTTGCTTGTATCTTGGATAGGGTACACAAACTCGATCATACTTCCAATAATATATCTCAAATTAACCAAAGTTTTGACATTTTGATAAGCATGTGATATTTGGAATGTGCCTATTATACTGCAATTAAAAACGTGCCTTTCCTTAATTAGTATATTTAGTATATATTTTGCTCTCGTTATGATTATGCAATCATGTATGCAATTACAAGCATTTTGCTGGAATAAATACAAAGAGCAGTCATTTTGTAACTCAAAATTCCTGTTCATATTCTAAAAGAACAGAAGAAAGAAAACTGATTTGATATAAAAAAAGTGATTTTTTTTCTGTGAAAGATTCATATTTATAAATCAATTATGAAAATTATAACTAAATAAATATCTTGATAATTAAAATTTTATGCAATTTAACATGCCATTGTTTTACTAAATTATTCCCATCTCTGGCCCACTTGTATATAACTTCCTATTATTTATGGATGTTTTCAGTCTTTGAAGCTACATTTTTGTAAAATTGTTCTCTATACATCGATATAACTTACCAATCAATACCGTTTGATTAGCAATTATAATTTCCAGTATTGTTAAACAGATCACGTGTTTCCGTTGAGACGTATAACCTGTAACCATAGAGACAGGTTAGAAGACGGATCATTAGTCATTCTCAATACCTGACTATTTCATATTTCTTTTATAATAACGTATTGCTTTTTTTTATAAAAATTCCTACAAGAGATTAATAAAACATTCTATAAGTCACGTTCACATTAAGGTTTTGTAAAGGTAAAATCTATCATAGATATTTATAGAATAAGCTTAATGCAGCCTTAGATTGAAATCAAACATGTTCAAATCCCTTGGGTACCAGCCCATTGTAACCGTAGTTGTCTTGCATGAAAACTTGACAATAATCATAATTTTAACTTTTTTTGCAGCTGTGGAAGATTTGTACGGCTATTTCCATCAGCATCCGGATAAACATTAATTAGGAATAATAAGCGAGGTATTCCGAAGTTAATTAAGCATACACGGTTTACTCGGTTTGGTGATATTGTTTTTACTGTTACATGAACTAGTAAAACACTATTCAGAAAACAATGGTCAATGCATACAGTTTTAAAGAACAAAAACGGAATGATCCCTTATTCGTAGTGTTAAATAAAGCGTAAATAATATTTTCAGATTTTTTCTTTTATTCATGTTTATTTTTCGTTTAAGTTATGTCGTATTTTAAAGCGGAGCATGTGCCGACTGGTTCTAATAATTTCAATTGATTAACTTCAACTTGATACGCAAAAAATGGATGCCGTCAGCAATCATTCTCAACACTGCCAATGTGGATTGCATTGTATTGTAATGTATTGTATTGTAATGTATTGTATTGTATTGCATTGTTTTGTATTGTATTGTACCAGTATATTGGTTAATGATAAAAACAGACTCAAATAGAAAGAGCCTTAACATACTGAATAATTTATAATCCTAAAATATTTTATAGAAAACTTATTGGAATTTAAGAAGTTATGTTCACACTCTCTCCCCCAATGAAAACATAATGTTGACATCAGCATGTGTTACTAAGTACATGCACATCATTAACAATGGGAGATATAAAAGGAAATAATCTCTACAGTAAAATTGCTGTTTCTGGTGGTTTCCTTTTCTGGAGGTATTTCTATGGATTATTAGGTTTGATATTTGCACCTAGGTTCACGAATTACAAAGTGATGATTTTGAAATATCTTAGCCAGTAGTTTCCTTTAACTTGTAGTTTGAATAAATATCACATTGCTAGCGCATTAGAGAATTGATGACTATGAAATATATGCTGAATATGTGAATACAGGTATTTTGCAAAAACATCGTCTATCAATTTTCTAACCTGCTACTTTAATACCTAAATATCACAGAATTATCAGGAATATGTGAAAAGTCCTAATTATGCTTTCATGTTATAAATATTTTACTTCGCGAGGTTAGCCAAAACTGGAGAAAACCAACAATATAGTCTATAATAATCTAACGCTTTTAGTTGTTTAAGTGATAAAAGCGTGGCTGTCGTTCATATAAAACAATTAATTTAAACAATTGTTTGGATTCCATATTAAAGAACACTTGAATCCACCTCCAATCATCAGCCTCCGAACGCAAGAATACTTTATCTGCTTCCGGACGCAAGAATAATTTTTATGCCTCCGAACGCAAGAATAATCTATAAGCATCCGATCTATAAGTCTGTCCCTCTCTCGTAAGAAAAGGGGAAACTGTGATGCGTGCGATGGTCACTTTCTTTACAACATCTCCTGGATGCATGTATGTGGTCGCATGGTTGATGTGTTTTGGTACAGAACAATGCAACTCATTTAAAAGCCTAATATTGAGGACTTCGTTGCTTCTGTTTTAAAAGCCTAATAAGAACATTTTCAGTTTTAATTGGGAGCTATATAAAAGCTTAATTAGGACTTTGATTCCGCTAAAAAGCAAAGATAAAAAAAACCTTATAACAAATTGGTACTCCCAGTAACAACCTATAAGGATTTTTTGCACAGAATTAGGAGAAATAATCCTAATAACAACCGGGTAACTCTTAATAAGACGTTTAAAAAGTCTTAATGTAAAATATAAATCTAATTTTTACTTTGTACCTTCTAAATGTTTTATACAGAAGAACAACTAAGAATTTTATTTCTCCTAATAGTTTTTAAAATTTTCTAAATAGGACATGCAAAGTCCTAATTAGTTTTTTGACATTAAAACGTCACACCAACTCATTAAGATCATATAGCGATTTCCCAGCTTAACTGGTGGAGGAAATCCTCTGGTGGCCTTTTGTAACGAACGGAAACTTGAGAAGAACCACCGACGTTCCATAAGCTAGCCGGATAGCATGGCAGACTCCTATTTCCTTAGCGGAATTCTAACCCACAGCAGTGAGGGGAAGGTAGATGGAGAATAGTCTACAACTTTCCAAATGTACGATAACCAATATTATTAAAGATAAAGATGATTATTATATTACACACCTTAAAGGTAGCTTAGTAGCATTATATACTTAAATCAATGGCTTGTACATTTTAATTGCAAACAAAAAGGACATATAAAGTGTACTGCTTTATGCAATACCATAAATAATGTATTAAATATCATGTGTGATAACAAACCATGAAAAAATCATATGTGGATGTTGACAATAAAATGCTCATAAACAAAAATTTAATAATTCATCATATAAACGCCATATTAGATAATGCAGAACTAGATAAACATTTTTGGTTTAAGAAATATGTGTAAGAGTATCCAAATGATATGTTTTTATTATCAATATTTGAAATTTTTCCTGTAAATGTACTTATTGTTGTCCAATCCACTTCAAAAGCATTTTTCATTATGAGACTGTAGATTATTCCGACAGTCCTTTATGTAGATATGTATAATGTTTATTGTAATTTAATACCACATAGTAACTTAATTTTATCATGAATATACAGCTTGCGACATTAAATGGTAGTGTTGCGACATATAACGGTAAGGGAAAATCGTGCGACATTTAGCGGCAGAAGACTTTGCAAGTGCGATATTAAGCGGCGGTGACATATAACGGTGCACACAAAAAACGGCGTTGAACGAAATAAAGAACTTATCTTGGAAACGCCATACAACGTGCCATGTTGATTCAAAAAACGAAAACTAAAACCAAGTTGTAAATCATTTTTGTGGCAAAGACATAAAAACTATAGGTTATTTCAAAATCTACACCTTTTATCTGTATATTCTGTATTCAAAATTTCAAACTCTCCAAAGTAAACATTATCTGGATGAGCGGTCACTTGAAGAACAATGTCTCGTGCGAATGTTGCGTTAAAACAGACTGAGATTTTTGTAAAAAAGGTACGTTATGTAAAATAAAATTGACCCGCAAAATGAATACTTATGTGTATTGATACTGATTTTGTTGAAAAACTTGTATAATGATTAAGAAGACATTCCGCAGCGAATATTTAGGTTTAAATCCTGAACATATCTTTTAAAAATGTTAACGAGTAACATTTACATTTTACCTTAAATAATAATATCTTTATTGAAGGAAGGTAACACATGCAGATGTTCCATCGTAGAAAACAAATAACATATCTTAATTTTCAATTTGGCCTTCTAAACAATATATAGAAACACAAAACATCATAAAACAATGACAACTTTTTCATTAAGATTTTGCCCTATAACAAAATTTTATTTCTTTTTACAAACACTTCTTTAAGATATTAAATAGCATAGGAATCATCAAAGGGTCATTCAAGAAATCGTCTACGTGATTCAGAATAAGGTATAGCTTATAAGTAATGTGTTCTTGCAAAGGACAAACCAACAATGAAGTGAACACTAACAGCAGTTCATGTTGTACTCCTTATGGCAGACCTGATCCTGTTTGTCTAAGTGACATATTATTTATACATCTCCATTTACAAATATTTTGACAAATTTACATGCACAATACAATAATTAAGCATATCGCAAAAATGTACATGCATAATTTGCTTTCTTTTTAAAATATACTTACTATCATCAAATGGCTCCAGACGTTCATTCGTAGCCTTTTCTGTTATATTGAAGAAAGCGCCACCTAGAATGTCTCTTATACAGATAGTTCTTCTCAGCTAGAGGATTGAAAATGAAAGATTTTGTCAAGAAAACTAGAAATGTGTCCATAGGACACGGATGCCCCAACACGCCACTGTTCTGTCAATCTTATGACTCTAGGTCAAATATTTTTTGGACTACATGTGCCACAAGTTAAAAACTAAAAATCAACAAAGGGCCATAATTCTGTTAAATTTGGTCGCAGCAAAAAATCCTCCCTTTACAACCATCTACACATTAAGGTTGTTCATCCCTGGAAGTTTAAGCAAAATCTGCCATCCGGTTTAAGAGGCGTTGCGTTCACAAAATTTCTACATAGTATATAGTGAAAAATCAACAAAGGGCCATAATTCTGTTAAATTTAGTCGCAGCAAATATTCCTTCCTTTACTACCATCTACACATTAAGGTTGTTCATCTCTGGGAGTTTAAGCAAAATCTGCCATCCGGATTAAGAGGAGTTGCGTTCACAAAATTTCTACATAGTATATAGTGAAAAAATCAACAAAGGGCCTAGTTCTGTTGAGTTTGGTCGCAGCAAAAATTCCTTCCTTTACTACAATCTACACATCAAGGTTGTTCATCCCTGGAAGTTTAAGCAAAATCTGCCATCCGGTTTAAGAGGAGTTGCGTTCACAAGATTTCGGGACGTACGGACAGACGTACGGACGGAGGGACGGACACTCGGACGGACAAGTGCAACGCTATATGCTCCCACTCTGTGGGGGCATAATAAAAACAGTATACTTAGTAATAATACAAATTTATAAAGTCATACCATGAACAGATATTAGATTCATTTATGTAAAAAAAGGTGAACAAATTATATTTCTTTCTTTCTTTCTTATATATTGTCTTACTAAAAATATCTAAATTATGCTACTACCATTTTCACATTTTGAAAATGTAGCATGGTGGCGTCCTTTGGGATAATGCCAGCTGAAAGTTCCATTGGTGCATTCTGCTGGAACATTGACAGTTGTTGTGAAATTGTCTGATTTGGAAATTCTTCAAAATAAAAAGGATAACACATGTATTAATTTGGTCAATTATATTGTTAAACAATTGTCTGATTTACATAATAATCAACAGATATACATACATTCATTTTAAAATCGTATTTTGTGAACTAAACTTAGTGTCGTAAATATCAAGGTAATTTTAAATACAAGCTATGATATAATTCAATTTTCGGGGTAAACTATTTGTAATGAAGTATTTTTGATCAAATACAATGAAATTGTTTATATAATATATTCAAGAACTTACCCGTTAGTATATTTCGGACATACTTTACATGGCTTATCACAGAAAAGTCCGCATGCGGAGAACACGCACATCAAGAAATAAATCAAATTGATCATCATCATCATTACGTGCTATTTTTTTACCTCCAGTAATGCTAAGATGTTTTAACCCTTTCGCTGCCAGAGGGTTATTTATTAATTGATCACCTATTTGCCAGAAGGTTTTCTAAGAAATTAATATATTATTAATTAATATAATTATTATTATTTGTTATTTAGTAGTATAATAATTATATATGTTTCCAAATCTGCTAGTATATAATAATTATTGTCGATTGTATAATTATCTATCATTATTATTATTATTACTATTATTATTATTATTTTAGAAACGGCAAAAGCCGTCCATATGGCAAATACGCCGAAAATAATAGGGACGGCATATATGACAGTGAAAGGGTTAAATCCGTTGAAAGTATGTGTACACAAATATTATTAGAAATATGACCTGAAGAAAGTTATTGAAATTACGTTTTACTTTAAATGTATATATAAACTACTCTCGTACAATAAATGCAGGTATTCGCTCAAAATGTTTCTTTTTATAGATCATTAGGGTTAACGACTTTGTTTAATTAATTCGTAAAAAATACATAAAACCACGTCGCAAATGACATCCTGTTCCATATTCGCATATATAAGTTTTCTTAAATCAACAATAAGGTCATTAACATGAAGTATAAATATTTATATCACAAATGACATCCTGTACAATATCCGTGTATACACGTTTTTCCAAAATCAACAGGAACATGAACAATCGAGCCATTTCCGTAGTGAACTTACTGTTATTGATCGGACATTTTGATTATTATTTACATTTAAAAGTATATCATACCCTAGAAATGTTTTATCTTTATTTATAAAAAAAGATTATCATATTTTCAACAACAACAAAAAATCATTGGCTTATTACATTAACAATCGGTTTTTATTTGTTTGGGTCGTCAGACCAAACAAATAATGGTAGCGGAATTTCAGAGTCTAATGCTGTTAATTGCAAATGCCGAAAGTAGTCCACTTTTTTGAAGCGGTTACTTCCCTTTATATGTACACTAACGCCGAAAATTTCAGGGGAGATCACTGCGTAAAGATGGTCAAAGACAGGCACATTAATTTTCAAGCAAAATAATTCCCGAATGGTCGAAGATTTCTAATATTGTTTTATTGTATTTTCTGATCGAAAATAAGTAAATACAAAGCGGACATTCAATCTCTGACATAGAAGTTTACGACAAACCTAACAACAAGTAGTTCTCAAAACAGCTTAAAACTAGCGATTTAAAAGAAAGAAATATTTTTATTTGGTTACAAGTATCCAACAAATTACAACGCATTCAAAGTTTAAAAGTAGCGTTGGCTTATAGAATTGTCAATAAATGCACAATCACAAATTACGCGGATGAATATGATTTTATCAATGAAAATACTATTTTTAGCGATGTCGATTACCGAATACTACACAAACCGAGTAGTGAAATATATAGATTCTACATGTCGGACTGTTTGGGCGAAATTATTTACTTCAATTTTAAACAACAGGTTTATCCTGAACAAAATACCTCGAAATTAATAAGGATTACAAACCCGAAATGCAATGGAAGTTCTAAATTTAGAATGACTTGATGTTATTCAGTCATTGTTTGAATAACTTCTCAGTGGTGCAGGGGTAACGCGCTCGCTTAGTGAGTGAGAGGTCTGGAGTTCAAATCCCAATCGATGAAACTTTTTTTTTTAATTCTTTTTTAAGTGTCTTTGCTAAGGAAGTAGCCATGATATGCAAGGATAAAGTGTAGCTGTCTTAAAAAATGAACATAAATGATATTTTGATGCAACTCTAGTTATGCAGAATTCTGTTTGTATCAAACTCTGGTGCCTTGCAAAATGAATTATAATACATAAAAATAAACTTATACAGGAAAATACATACAGATATACAGTACGATCTAGATAATAAAGATCAGAAAATACCACAGAACTTGCAGCCCTTTGATTCTTTATAAATATACATGCTTATAGTAAGCTCCAGGATTATTTACATCTGTGTTAAACAACAGTTAAAGTCGTTACAAGCCCTAATTTAGAATAATATGGTTTTTTTCAAGCCGTTCACATATAAATTCACCGTGGCTGAAGGGTTTTCGCGCTCGCTTAGGAAGCGAGATGTCTGGAGTTCAAATCCCAGTAAAGGCAACTCATTTTTTTTTTCAAATTGTTTAAGTCAAATAAACATTGGATTGAATATCAGTGTTGCAATTAGTCTTATAGCCAATTTACTACAATTAAAACGCTGGAAAGCATTGGTGGCACTATACATATAATCTCACAACCTGTACCTTTCTTAAATTCTGAGACCCAAACAAATTCAGCGCCTTCTGTGCAATCAGTACACTTATAGTGATTTAGTACTTTGTATGTAATTTAAAAAACTATTTTGCTTACATTTTGGTACCTTTTATGACAAATTTTTCATATTAAGCGCTTTTTTCTTATGATAACAAACATCTAACATGTTCTAGAACTATTATTTAAAGGTTATGAAATTCATGTTTGCCCGATTATAAAGAAGTCAAATTTATTCAATTAATGTTTTAACTATGCAAACCCTAGAACAACTTATGTTATGATATTATATTGATTATTGATGAGTATAAGATACCCAAAGGTGAATAGCGGCAGACATCAAACACTGACTAATCCTTTCGTTTCTCATAAATGTCACAAACACGTACGTTTTAGCTAATGATTATATATTATTTTCACTGCACGCAGGTGTTTTAATAATGTTTTCATTTATTGAATTGCAGATATGTTTTTGTATTCCCTTTTTAGAGAATGTTTTTAAATTTAGTCTTGTAAAACGCTTCTTTTTGAATAAATCTATACAAGGAGTTGTGACGTTTTAAATTAGATATACGCATATAATGACAGAAAACGTCGATCGCATGCAAGAATATAATGGTTTAATCAAGTCAGATCTCTTCTTTATTCAGTTGTTTGTTTGGTAAAAAGCTAATAATTCCTAAAGATATTGGAGATTTATGACATTTCATTTCAACTGTATTTTCAAAACATCATTCTTTGTTATTGATAACATACTAAATAAAACATTACATTTTAGTTAACATGAATAACACAAAATGCTTAGTAGCATGTCTTTTGTCATTGTTTTCACCAATCGAATCTGTTCTGTCTTTTTCGTCATACTTTGGCATATAAAACACAAAAATAGGATATAGTATATCAGTTTCACTTTAATTTCAATAATTTAACCTATTCAATAATAGTTTAAATTTTTCATTTGTTGGTTAAACCGATAGTAACAATGGCATAGCTGTTGAGGGTATTTTAGATTTGATTGTTATTCTAGAGTATTGGTATTTTGAAAATGTTTCTAAATGTTGCACAATTTTTCAATACAAATAACTTTATAATGAAATTTAGTTTTTTTCCATATGTTTAATATATTTCTAGTTATCTAGTTACAACAAGGTAACGAGGAAATTATGGGTAAATAGCGAGATGTTACAAATAATGTTAAATATTAATGTTAAGTTGTATTCTTTACAATGGTTTCTTGTCGGACTCATTTAATATCAGACAAGGAGTCCGACAAGGCTGTCCTTTATCTCCTTACATTTTTATTTTAGCAATTGAACTCCTCTCCATAGCAATAAGAGAAAATACAAATATTAAAGGATTTAATATATTTGATATAGAAGTAAAAAACAGCATGTTTGCTGATGATGCAACAATATGATTAGATGGTACAAATAACAGTTTCAAAGAAATGTTGAATATATTTGAACAATTTTCATTCATCTCGTGTCTAAATCTTAATTATAGTAAATGTACAGCTCTAAGAATAGGCCCACTGCGAAACCAGCACGACCTTATATATTGTAGAAAAAAATATAGTAATATTTCATGGACATCAGAAAGTGTCAAAACACTAGGAATACCATTTCATTCAAAAACTGACCATATCCTCAAATTAAATTACGATAACAGATTATCTCAATTCCAAATAGACATAAACAGATGGAAAGCTAGACATCTCACAACAATTGGTAATATCTCAGTATTGAAAATATTAATAATTCCAAAATTAACTTTCCTGTTTTCTGTTCTACCCAATCCTCCAAATAAAACTGTAAATACAATTAAACAACAATTTTATGAATTTATATGGAGCTCAAAAAGGGATAAAGTCAAACAGGATGTGATAATACAGGAGTACAAAAACGGAGGTCTAAATATGATTGACATTCCTATATTTTTGAACTCAATAAAATCGAACTGGATAAAAAGAATAATAAACGATTCAAATGATGGGTTGTGGAAAGAAATAATAAAGAAAAATACAAATCATTTAGGTGGAATATCTTTATTTAAATACAATATAAACACAAAAGATATATTGAAATTTAAAATAAAAAATAAATTTATACACGAAGTATTAGTAGCTTGGAGTGAAATCAATTTTAATGAAAATCCGAAAAATATTTCAGAACAAATTCTTTGACAAAATTCAAACATAAAAAATAACAATAGCCTTCTCTATTTCAGACAGTGGAGAAACAAAAATATATACCATGTAAAAGATATCTATGATATAAACGCAAAAAAAAATTTAAAACTTTTAGTCAATTAACAAGAGGGCCATGATGGCCCTGAGGTCGCTCACCTGTATATAGGCCCCCCATCCCCGGGCCAAGTTTTACCCAACGGTTTATATTTGTTTATTTGAACAGACTTGGTAGACACCCATAAGAAGATGTTTCATGCTAAACATCTAAGTTCTAGCTCATTGGCTTTTTTAAAAGAAGATTTTTAAAGTTTTTACTATACACATATAGTTAAAAACAATGACACTCCTGGGGCAGGCCAGTTTTGACCCCCGGGCGTTTATTTTAACAAACTTTGTAGATATTTACTTAAAGATGTTTCATGCTTAATATCTTAACTCTAGCTATTTGGGTTTTTTCAAAGAAGATTTTTTAAGTTTTTGCTATACACATATAAGGAAAATCAATGACCCCCCCCCCGGGCGGGCCAGTTTTGACTCCAGGGCTTTTATTTGAACATACTTGGTAGACACCCATTAGAACATGTTTCATGCTAAATATCTTAGCTCTAGCTCTTTGAGTTCTTTAAAAGAAGATTTTTTAAGTTTTTACTATATGCATATAGGAAAAATCAATGACCCCCTGGGGCAGGGCCAATTTTGACCCCAGGGCTTTTATTTGAACAAACTTGGTAGACACTTACTATAAGATGTTTCATGCTAAATATCTTAGCTCTAGCTCTTTGGGTTCTTTAAAAGAAGATTTTTT